GTATAACACCGACCACCTATCCCAACACAATGACACACGATAATTACGGGTAGAGTGATAGGGTGTATTTGAACCATGACTAGAAATTCTTAACCGCGGCACATCAAAGTGAGTGTCAATCCACCAGACCCCCAATAGATTAACATGATGGAGAACGTGGCCCCTTTCTGCTGCTCGTGGTTTCCATGTGTTTTGAGAGTTCCTTTATTTTGCAAAGTTGTCCAGATTGCAATACGTGATGAGTTCCAGATGTCTTTCTTGGGAAGCCAATTGAGCTTAGTTGCACTAGAGAGCGGAGAAAGCAAATCAATTTTGACTGTTCAAATAGGCTGCATATGGCATATATGGGTGCATTCCCGACTGTTACCGCTCCTTGGGCACTCTGTCATCGTTGTGAGCTGCCATGATGAACGATTTCAATGAATCCAACCTGCAACGTGTCCAGCGTTCAGTATGCTAAGTGTACTGAAGATGAACCAGGTACCAGGAAAATCCACTTGGTGATAACTTTATCGCAATCTTAACATCTCTGCTTGCTGACGAAGAACGCTGATGTGCACGAAGCCTCATCAAACTACGGTTCGTCAATTGCACTTTCATTGTTTACTGGAACGCTTGGCGGTTGGACTACATTTTGACTTGGAGTGTTTTCAAGCTTGCGCTATGGCTTCTGAAAGTCGCACATCTATGCCAAAGGGGTTTCTGTTTAGAAGCAACGAACCATGCCAAAGCGTTGAAATCCAGTTTCTTATTTCTGGGTAGGATAGCAGAAGGTAAGCGCATTGTAAGCGCAAGAAGCCCGCAGAAGCCGTTCTCGGGGTAGATGCTGTTCTTGGAACTTGAGTTTATTTGTGCATATTGGAGCTCCACAAACAACCTTTTGCATAACCCCCTGCTGAAGCAACTTTCACTGATGTGGAGCCGCGTTGGTCAACCACGCAGCCGTGTAGCCATACTTAGCCTAGGGCGTAAGCATGGTGCCGATTTGGATGTTGTTGCAACTGTTGGACTGCTGTGCCCCTGAGGTTGTGAATGATTCAGCCTTGGTGGCTGGTTGGCATGCGCTCCTCCAGCGCACGTGATGGCCTTTGGAAATTTGGGAGAAGAGACGCCTTACTTTCCTTGCACTGGTCCTCCTTTGCATTTTGGTTTCCCAGTCCTTTTCTTATGTTTCATGTCGTCTTCTGTCAATGCCGGTCGTTGTCGTTTCTGTTTCTGCATGTTTGCTGTGCGGACGCTGATCCGTTTTCTATTCTATGTGGAGCTCGGACACGTGAAGCTCCCCCATATTTGGCTGGAGCGTCATCGGAGATCCAGTCAGCAAATCATTTGAAAGCGCAAATCATTTGAAAGCTAAAGAGGCTAAAGACCAAACTGGTTTGGTTAACAGGCTGTTAAGTTAACAGGTGCCCTCAAGTGATCCATGTCCAAGTCCTTTCGTTTCTCTTGCATTCCCCCCGTGTCAGCTGTGTTTTGCTTAGTAACTGCATGCTTTGCCATGTTTTGGCATGTTTTGGGACAAATTTCCGCGGTGCATTCGTTTAAGGGTTGACACTGTTCCCAAGGCGACGCCACCCAGACTTCCCTGCGGAGTACACTTCTTGCTTCAACAACGAAGGCCTCGGGTTTATCATGTTTTATCTACGTTTATCTGTTTAACTGCTCCCTTGCTTCCAAATACCCAAAGCATTTTTTGTGTCAATCAATGCCCCCTGGAACTCCTCCAAGGCAAGAACTGGCTTAAAGCCAACAGCAATGCTCTCAGATTCAGCGCATGAGACCTCTCAAGAGGTTTTGAATTGTAGAGATTTTGCTTTCAGTGCCTCGAATCTTGGACATTGAGGAGCGAAGGGCCGCTTTGTACTTGGGATCGACTGTGAGATGGTGTATGCCAAGGAAAGTGTTTTGTGGGGAAAGGCTTCTGGTGTCCTGCAATTTTGTGCGCCTTGCCGTCTTG